CCCCAAAACCCCAAAACCCCAAAACCCCTCAATTATTGATATGAAAAAATAAGGGATTTATTAATTTAAAAAGAATCCAGAAAGTAAATCCAATAATATCTGATAACAATCTCATTAATTAACCATTATATACATTTATCCATTTTCATTCAATGTTATCAATGAATTCATTAGGGCAAGGAGAATATTGTCTGTTATGGAAGCAAAGTAGGGCAGCGTAATAGTGGCCAAGTGCAGCTGCAAGAATGCATAAGTGGAATATCTAATGCGAGGATCCCTGTAAAAGTAACATAAAACAATATTGTAAATTTACAAAGAAGTCAAACTTATTAGGGAAGAATCTTTCAGGCACTCTCAACATGTAAATAACTGCACCAAAAATGTATAAAAATGCTCCAAAAACCCACCAAAAGCTGTCGAAGTGTGGCAAATACTCTGGCTCCCTATTAATAATCATAAAAATAAAACCTACATGAATTGTATGATATGAGTGAAGGGTGCTACTGCAACTAGTCCTAGGATTACAAAAAGAGTTCCTCTCAACACTCTGAATTAAGGCTTATCAAACTTAGACCAAAGAGAGCAAACAAAAACAAGGAAACAAGACAGACTTTGGCAAGTCATATAGAAATTTCTCCAAACTATTAACGATTATTCTAAATATCTTATTACAATGTAATGGTTTGCAATAGAAGGAATAATATAATGGAGGCATGTTACTTCCTGCGATCATAAGACTGATACCTGCATAATCTAGTCTAACTAGGAATTCACCCAAATGTTAGCTATGATCTTTAAACAAATGGAAAATTGCAGAGCAACCAAGACATGAAATTGCCCCAGCAATATGAAGAAAGAGAGGGATCTTAGTCACATAAAACTTAACTTGGACTGGATCTTAAATCACAGGTCCAAGCACCAACCAGTCTGATAAAGTAGAGTTTTTATTCTTTTATATTTGGCTTGATACTTATTCAGACCACAATGACGCCTTATCTTGAATCAAAGTAATCATTTATTTCAAATAATTAATCTGGAAAGATATATGATAAAAATAAAATATTTTACTTTTCTAAGAGAGAAATCCTCATTCTCTTCATTAACTGGCTTTAATTGGTTTATGAAGCTTACTACCTAGTCATTTAGTTGGGAAGATAGCTGATTGACCAAATTGATCACTGATTTAACAAATGATTCCTGGGATATCTTGTAAGGCACTCCCGAGATAACATGCATGATATCTAAAAGATAACCCTCGATGTGCCAGTACTTTGATTATTCCTGATCTTATATATGCATTCCACCAGTTTGAATATTTGAATGACTACATTAACGAGTTTAAAAGATATGAGTTAGTTTATTACTAGTCGATTTCGTATCTCCAAGCTTTAGCCCAGAGCTCAAAGGAGTCCAAAGCAGAAATAGATTGTGTGTTTACTGTTATATTAAGAAACTTATCACATAAAGTTTCAAAGTCTTCGATTGAACTAAGGTCTGAATGCAAATTTACCTGCATTCTACCCTGATCTATCATAGATTCACGATCAGGCACTGAAGAGGAGATCGAGAAGTAACTCGCTAGAGGACTCAAATAAATAAGGGTGTAGATAAGCAGACCAATGAAGCATCCAACTCCGATCAGGTGACTCCAAACATTAACTGATTCATTATGAAGCATAAATAAAGATTTGCACAAACTGCTTTTGCTGTTGAAGTTAATGCGATAACCCCTTTGAATATACTCATTATCAACGATGTAATGAGGTGCCTTTTTAATATGACCGATAAATGCTTGCAAGTGCTGTTTTCCCTTATGGGACATATCAGACAACTTGTGCTAGAAATTTTCTATGTTTTCTCCGAATAGATTCTACCAATTACTGTGATTTTCGTTATCCCCATGATGATCACGACCCGGACTTGTGTTGAGATTTGAATTTTAGCCTTAGTATTCTTGGTTCAGACGATTGATTGAATCCCTTGATTTTTTCTCCTCCTCATGCTTTCCCGAATCTAAAGGTTTATAATTTGAATCCTCTGATCTTTAATACATTTGTTTTAAATATTATTAAATTCAAACTTACAAGCATCTCCATCATTTAAATTTGAATCCATGTCTGCAGCAATGTCATCGATAATCTCGATCTGCTAATGAGCCTGATAATACTTATATATTCTAAGATAAAATTACTCTGTCTTTCTGTGATACTTCCAAGCCATCCTCTTCTGAGAGTGAATAGAATTTTATATTGTTCATAAATTAGATTATTATCTTAGTATATAAAGAGTAAATAATAGAGTGACTATCATTCTCTACTATAGAGCAGTCAATAATATATTAATTCATCTTATCATCTTAATTTTACCTTATCTGAGTATTATGGGGTTTTGGGGTTTTGGGGTTTTGGGGTTTTGGGG